CGAAGAAGGCCGTGTGCGGGAACCTCTTCTCCTTCGACTCCCAGAAACATGCTGGATGGGTATAGCTCCTCGCCGCCCGGTCCATGGCCACATCGTCGAACGGCGGCTCCGTGGAATGGAACTTGTCAATGGCACTGAGGACCTCGGTGTGCTGATCCGAATGTTCCGGGTACCCAAACTGAATCAGAGCGAGTTTCAAACCGTGCTGCATCTCCTCGTCATCTGGCATCGTGAGGTCTCGAAACTCGGGGTCCAACATCATGGCAGCAATATGAGCAGGCGACTTGAACATGGTGCGACGTCTGTCAAACACTTCAAGCAGCGCGTCCTGCTCGTCCTTCTCCAAAGCGGCACATGCAGACAAACAACGCGCGATCATCTCGTCGTACCGACGCAGAATCTTGCCAATCTGCCTTGTGTCGCTGTCCACCATCTGCAGCATGTCCATGATGGGATCCAACAACTTGCACAGCGCTCTCATATAATCCCATCATTGAGGACAACTGACACATGCTGTGCCCTTCGCGGCGTCGTCTCGAATCTTTTTCGTTGACCAAACAGTGTCCTCCCATCGATCATCAACGACCACCTGCATAAGATGCGATTGCAGCAGAAGAAGTCGTCGCATCATAATCACATGCGTACCGAAGCGAGTCTCGGCGGGAAGCAGCAGAGCCTTCGTCGTGAAAGCTTGCAAAACTTCGCGAGCGTGGCTATGACGCTTGAAAAACTTTGTGACCAAACGCGCCTGAGCAATGCGGGTCGCCACCTAGTCAATGCTGCCGATGTCCTCAAGGATGAGGTCCATGACGTGTGCCACACAAGGAATCCAGAAGATGTGCTTGACACTCTCATCCTTCTGGAACACCTCCATCGCAGAAACGTTCGAACTGGCAGAGTCTGTGACGAAAGCGGTGATGTCGGCAAGCTTGATGTCAAGGAACTTCAACCTTCGCAGCCAAGCCTGCGCCAGAGCAGTGGCATCCTTCTTTCCTCGCATAACATCTGTCGCGACGTATGTGGCGCCCCGTGTAGTGCCGACGAGATAGTTGCACAACGTTTGGCCCCGAATGTTCATCCAACCGTCTGTCATTATCGTGCAACCGTAGGTAGCTGCAGTAGCGAGGACAGGTTTCACACACTTTTGGACTTCCACATCAAGCTCATCCAAAAGTGTGGTACGGATCATGTGATACGTTGGGGGTTTTGGGGTGGGGACTCCTGGAACCCCAGGCGGGATGATCAACGTCAACATGCGTTTGAAGCTCTCAAGCTTCACACAGTTGAACGGCATGCCGCTCTCGACAATGAATCGCATGATCTGCAGGTGCCATGCGTGCTCCAGCGGGTCGCTGGAATACGAGGTCACCGCCTGCTGCCTGTAAGTGCCCCTCACTCGTGCACCGGCGCCCATACCTAGCGAATCCCACACCCCGCCCCCGGCCGCAGGTGATGCGGTGGGGCCTGGACTCGGAGCTGCAATGTTGCGCAGAATCTGTAAAGGATCCAGTGTCCCAAAAACACCGTGCTGCGAGGTCGGGCCGTTCACGGGCACAGGAGTGGGTGACGAATCCGAAACCTTGACGGGCTCGTCGAGCTGGACGTTTCTCGCACCCTCAGTGGCCGTTGCAGCGGCCTCGTCAACAGGTGCCGAAGTCAAATCTGGTGTAGGCCGTCGTGTTTGCGAAGGAGGGGGAGGCAACCATGGATACGCAGCGGATTGATGTCCTGTTGCGGGTGCTCCTGCCACGGCCGGACGTGTGTCTGTGCGTCGAACTCTTGGGACCTTGTCCCTGTTGCCAGTGAACAACGGGGCGAGGCCTGATGATGTGCCAGCGTCCTTCCCCCACCCACCGCCCTCGACGAAAGCACGAGTGTCTTGCTCGT